CAAGCACTCGGGCCTTCAGCTGTGCCGTGGAGCTGTGGGACCTCGGGCATATGGCTGCCTTCTCTGGGCCTCATTTCCTTCCTGTACCTGGAGGGCCCCGCAGCTGCTGTCTGAGGCTGTGGGCTCTGACACGCCATCATTCTAGGCTTTGGGTGGGAACCCCGGTGGGTAGGAGTTCTGTGCTCCGCCTGCCCCAACCCACCCTCAAGCTTGTTCAGTGCCTGGGACAAGAGCTCTTTGTGGAGGAGGCCAGGCCACCTGTTTCTAATCTGGTTTCTAGAAATTACGCACCAGGGCCTGGCGCACAGAACCCATTGGCTGGGGCCTCCTGGGAAGGCTCACCGCCCGGCTTTGTAAGAAAAGCCAGGGAGGCGTTTTCTGGCTCCGCCCATCTACCGAGGCTGCTGTGACTGCATCCCACGCTGCCCGCCTAAGGTGGGATCGAGGCAGCCCCACATGCCCAGGTGCGCTGAAAGCAGCAGGTTAGGTCCCACTGCAGGGCCTGTGTGGCCCTCACGTGGGCGTCTCTGTCTCTCTCATCTCGGTATGTTTGTGTTCGCGTGTGTGTGTGCACGTGCTGTGTGTGTGCGTGTGTGTGCATGTGCTCTGCGTGTGTGCTTTTATTCACACGGGCACATCAGGGCTCCCCTCCGGAAGCGTGTCCCCACTCGTGGGAGTGTGCCCTCCTCGAGCCCCCCGTTGGGACATGCAGAGGCTGGCGTGCCTGTTTGCTGCCCTCTCTGAGTCCACAGGGTCCGTCGGTGTATCTTCTACGTGCCTCTCCCTCTGCCCTCTCGTGAAGTGCCCCGGGGTCGAGTCCGGGCCAGGGGTCCTTCTGAGGGCACGAGAACCCTCCCATCTCCCGGATGATCCAGGGCCCGCGGCCCCCTTCCCCCCCACAACCGGCAGCTGAGCCAGGTCCCTTAGCAGGTCCTCTGAGGGGAGGTGACTCAGGAGCTCGGGGTCAGGGAGCAGCTCTCCTGGGGGCAAAGGGCTGGACCCCCTGCCTGGGCCGTGTCCGGGGGATGCAGGGCTGCAGGAATGGCCCCCATCCCGCCTGTTTATTCTGTAAACTACAGCCTGTAAATAACATTTAGCATTCCTATTGTAACAAAATTAATTTTTATGAAATAAATTATATTTCCTAGTCTAATAAAAAAACAAAAACAAAAAACCTCCCGGTTATAGTCTGCTGTCTTCTAGACTGTCTTCCTCTCAGCAGCTGGGAATGACCTTCCCACTTTTCCCAAAATTCCGGGGTTTCGGGGGTGAGGAGGTCACTGTCAGGATTCAGCTCCTGGAAACCATCAAGCTCAACTGCCTCCTTTTACGGAAGGGAAAGCTGGCCCAGAGAGGGACAGGGACTACCCCGTGGTCACACAGCAAGTTCAAGCCGGGGCTAGATCTCAGACCCCACCCCCACCCTCAATCAATGCTCTCCGTGCAAAGGCAGTGTGTGCAGGGGTCGGCCACTGAGCCTTCCGTGGACTGGAGATGTGCAGGAGGGACGGCAGGGGGAGCCCCAGTGCCCCGTCTGCCTGTGGAGCTCAGCTGCGCTGAGGCTGAGCCGTCAGTTCAGAGCACTGGCCTGGGACGGGAGAAGTTGTGCAGCAGAAAAGGAGTGACGAGTGGGCTGGGGCCGGTGACCGGACCCGGGGCTGCCTTGCCTGCGTGGGCGGTTACACACTGGACGGGGATACCTCAGATGGGGGCGGGGGGTGCCCTCCCACGGGGATTGTAGGCCTGAGTATTTACGAGGAGAAGTTTCCAGCAGGCGGCAGGAGAGGGTCCTGTTCTAACAAAATCGCACTGGAGCTTCATTTTCCCGCTGATGGGAGTGTCTCGAGGGGGCTTTTCTTTCTAACGTGCCCGGTTTCAGTTGGTCCCCTCTGCCCTGTGGACCCCAGGCCTCTGGGAGTGGGTCTGGCCCCAGCATGCACTGCCTGCTCTGTGATCTGTGAGCGGATTCCATTCCCTGGTCCTTGTTCATGGCAGGAGCACCCGTGGCCACCAGGGAGACACCGTGTTCACCAGCACGTCCGAGAAGTCTCGCCTGAAGCAGCCGGCTTCCTCACATAACAACACGGGGTGTCCCAGGTGCATTTGGCCATGGAACATGGAGCCCCTTGTTATGCTCTAAAGTACGTGGTACTCTGGCCCGGCCAGCTCTGACTCTGGTACCTGTGTCTGGGGTGGGCACCAGGTACCGCCTGCTGTCGCCTGGGGGTAGGAGCACCTGTGGGCTTGTCCTCTGGGGACGTAGGGCCTAGCGGGGCAGGTGAGGTGTTTGCACAGGTACACACAGCCCCACCCACTCAGACTGTCCTCACTCCCTGCTTCCCCGGCCGCCACGGTCCAGTGGGTCAGTCAGGAGGGAGGAGAGGAAGGGGACAGCGTGTGCGTCTGTCTGTGTGAAGGTAGGCATGGCCAGTAGCCTGAGGTGGGAGCAGCAGCCCAGGGAGGGGGCGGCAGAGTCAGGTGGGCCAGTAGCTCCCACAGGCAGTTGTCTGGGGTCCTCCGAGGAGTGACAGGTGCCCATCTACACCCCCTAACCCTTGGCCCCCACTAAGCACAAGGGCCCCTCCTTGTCACCTGACCCTTGGTGGGATTCAGAGTTCTGGCCTGGGAAGCAGGGGACCTGAGTTCTAGCTCTGATTCTGTGAGGGTCACTGTCCCCTCAGCCTCAGTTTCCCCGTCCACGAAGTGTGGGTCTGAGACCTGCAGCTCTGCAAGGGCCCTCTGGCTGGAGTCCTGCAATTTGGGGGGGTGCTGGTTCTAGGATGGGTGTGACAGCCCCACCCCTCAGACCCTCCTCTGTCGCAGTCCCAGAAGTAGATACAGATACAGTTAGGAGCAAAAGATGGGCTGGTTCCGATCCTGTGACCAAGCGGCTGCCCAGTGAGGTGGCAGTGCTGGCACACATATCCAGCCCGTCGGTCGGCGGCCCAGCCCGCAAACTCAGGCCACCAGCTGTTGCCCGTGAAGGGTTGCTGGGTGCGGTGGGCAGCCGGCTGCCCCCTCCTCCACTAGGGCCTTAAGAGAAAATCCATTTCAACCCACTTTAAGGTCAGACTCAGGAAAACCTCGTGCAGTCCTGTTTAACAACATTTTTTAAAACTCACCCATTTTAATGGAAAATATCATACATGCCTATGGTATTAGAACATTCAAAAGGTACAAAAGAATAGATGAGAAGTCGATTCCCTCTCCCCAGGCCTCCCCCAGAGAGGCCTCTGTTACACCTACGTATCCTCTCGGGGAGATCTATGCAGATGCAAACATATTTGTACATGTAAATATTTAAATATAATGGATTTGGCCCAAGACTCAACCCCTCGAGGTATAAACATGAAATAGTTTTATTTTTCCAATAACTGTTCGGAGCTTCATTTTGTCGGCTCTGACGCTGGCTTTCCCAGCGGATAGCCGGCTCCCTTAACGATGTCTCCACGGAGGCCTCTAACCCCGCCCTCCCTGCTGTTATTAAGACGACCTCATTTTTGTTGCTAAGGCTCAACCCATCCCTTTCGGAGCTCCGACCTCATCTTTAACTAAAGTCCTCCGCTCCCCACGCGGTCACTGGGGTGCTGTGGTGGCCTGTCTCCACGCCTACCCTGCCCCTTCTCTTCACAGACTCAGCCAACCGCTCTCACTCCCAACGCGGGACACCCTCCCTCCGCACCTCCTCCCTCCTCACTTAATGGGAAAGCTGCCATCAAACCCACCGGCACCTCCTGCACAGGCGCGGGCGGACGCCTCCCCCAAGCCCTCTTCGAGCTGGGCCTGGAGAATTCTCAAAGGGACGCTGTTCCTAACCTAATCCCGCCCCGGATACTACATTCCAGGGCAGGGGGACCTCGGGATTGGGAACTCCCGAGTCCTGGTTCTCAAAACACAAACTGGCCGGGCAGGAATGGGGCTCCTTGCTCGCTGACCAGCAACTGACTGGGCACATTGTGCGGTCACTCCGCGGCCCCAGGGCTGGGCGCACACGGCCCGCAGTCCAGGGAGGAGACAGAAACAAACGGGCAGGGGCCCAGCAGGCTTTCTAGAAGAGCCGCTCCTTTGGAGCCGTTTCCCGGAGACGTGCTTTCTCAGGTGCGCGTTCTGTGGGAGATGCTTTCCGGCAAAGGTTTGCAGCAGCCTGCTTTTAATGAACCTTCGTGCTAAGAGAAGGTGCTGATGTCCTTGCAGCAGGGATGGTCCAGGTGTGACGGCCGCTGCCTGCCACAGGTGCACTATTTGGGTGTACGCATGGGGGGGTGTGAGGGGAGAGGTGGTGTCCTCTCTGGCCCTAGCCTGGGCCATGGGGGAGTCTGGGGGCAGGCTCCAGTGAGCCCGTGCTACCCCAGCAGCCATGAGGGGCTGGCCAGCCCAGGCCACACTGTGGGTGACTTGAATCTGCTCATCCCAGTCCCTTAGCCTAGGAAGCTGCCCCCACCCAAGGAGAAGGTCTGGGACACCTGGAAATCCGGTCAATATTTAGTGATCTGCTCCCCACGTGGGCACAG